AGTATTGTACGATTTCGAGCTGCAGCATCGGAAAGGTGGAACTCATACAATGAATTCGAGGGCTAAACGCCTGAGTCTGGGAGTTTCTACGGAATAAGAGGACTGGGATTATTATTGTGGGGTGTGGGGAGGACCGTTTTCTCTGCCTTTAAGCCTTGCGGACAGTCACAAGTCGCCAGATTTGCTACAGGAGGCTCCGTACAGAGTTATTGACAGTCATGAACCCATGATTTTTAGAACTAAATACCTGCAAAACGGTCAATCACAGTGGTATAGTCTTCATACTTGAATCTACGATGTCTTCACTAGTGTCGGCATAGCTGTTTACGTGATGACTTATTCTACACGGTTCATATTATAAGTGAGGGCCTGAGACTGCAATGAGGAGAGCGTGTGACAGTAAATTAATATTACGGCTATCTTCCTGGACCAGCAGGAGACATTTACTCGATAGTCCCGTAAAGTATGGGCATTTCCTCATGCTGCGGGATAGGTAATGCAGGACATACATGAAGCTTTCCACTAATAATAGCAGTGCCGCTGCTACCGCCCGCATGAAGGGCTCATTAACTCATTATTGTGTACTCGCGGATCCGATAATTTATTATAATAACGAGGCAAGTATATACGTGGAATTCAGAGCGCTTGATTCTTGAAAGAGTGTTTAATTTTGCAATTGCTAGCAGACCACCAGACCTAATAGTATAAGTACTGCTACAGTGACCCCTTGCCTGCGGTGTTTACTTGACGTATAACACAAGGTAAGAAAGAAAGTGACTCTAGTTCAGGTTTCACGACTATATTAATGTCCGGTTTCCCAGTCCAGGTCAGTGGCACATAGATATGTGATCGACAGACTAGACAGGGAACCCTGTTAGGTCTATTATCATTAGCACTTGGCTGAGCGGTCGAGCCTGCACCTTGAGTAAAACCGGAATGTCTCTACAAGGTGTTCCCGCTCTGATGCGTTTAGACCCTTATGGAGTCTTTTATTGGGGATATCTTGTATGATTGTTAATCAGCACTACCTCTGCTATTGCCCAGGTTCTACGCGGGGTATCGCACTAGATGAAAGCTACTAGTCTATGCATGTGCAGGCTGCTCCTTCGGGCCGGTGCTGATCGTAAGCCCAGCTGTAGCATCTTGTCCACACAGTCAATGACGAAGCAAAGAGATGATGAATTGATGATCCCCATGAGCCAACAGGATGACTCGTCATGACCCGTTGATGATCACTCCAGGTGATGCTGTCCGTTACCTGACCATGACTTGCGGATGCGGAGGTCATCTGCCCGTGCCACGATTGTTTCCAAGCCCACTAGCGGCGATTGGAGAAACTCCTAGATAATTGTAGTAAAGAGCATCTACTGTTGCTCGCATCGGCCAAGGAAGGGCCTTTTCCAGTAGAAGCTCCGCCTCAAAGCTATCGTTCTCTTTTTGTTTTATTTCTTTTCATCTTTGTTTATGCATTTTTCTTGTTCTTTGAGACTTCTTTCATTGTTGAATCATTTGTTGATAGTCGGTTGGCTTGGGATAACTTCACCGCTGAACCGCTCCCGTGCCGTACTATCAAAACAAGTGGGACTGCTTCTTCCACTCCAAGACATTTAGGGCTCCTTTTGTGTCTGTCGAGGGCCTGTGGTGAATATAGAGTGGGATATGTTTGTTTCAGTAAGTCAGAGATATGAGCAGATCCATTTCCCTCAAGACAAGTCCTCTGGTGTTTGTTTTGTTATGCCTGAGTACTGGTTATAGTCTAACAAGGTTCTCAGTTCGTCTTGTCTAGTTCGAAGCGAGTGTAGCTTCAAAGATCACCAGTATGCCTCGTTCCGTCCCTCCGAATATATCGCCCTTCCCTCAAAATGACGACTCGAGCCTTGCCGCGAGCGAATATCTAAACATTGCTTCCCGCACCGCTCCTCCGTCTCCATCGGCCTTCAGGCGTACACATTCCCTTCTCTCCGAAACTCATACCGGGTATCAGTCGCTGGAATCCCACATGGAGGCCGGTGAAACCACAAGTTTGTTAGGGAAGACACGCGAAAATCTTCGGGGCACACCACGAAGATCGTACACCAGCATCTCCGCTATTCCAGCCCCTGATAATTATCTCAGACACTCCTTGACGAGTGGTAGCCTACGTCGATCTCGACATCACAGCCGTGCAAATTCGCAGTCCCTACGATTTAGCCGAAGAGGAAGTATCGACGACGATCGAGATGAAAGCGTTCCACCATCGGCCAAGGATGGAATGACTGCTTCATTTCTTGACGAGCGTAACTGGTACGACCAGTTCACCTCGACTGACTGGGTGCATGACAGTATCGCTGATGGGGCGCGTCTGCGGGAACTGCGCAAGCGCAAGGATTTTCGCGGTCGCTTGCTCGCGGCGTTTGATGGTTCTCAGGGTTGGATTCTGGTTGCGTTGATCGGCTGCATCACGGCTGCTATCGCCTATTTTGTGGACGTGACCGAGAATTTCGTTTTCGATCTGAAGGAAGGGTTCTGCACAACAAGATGGTTTCATAACCGTGAAAGCTGCTGTGCAGACACCCTGGACTGCTCTGGATGGCGGTCATGGTCGCAGATTCTCAGTCCGTCTGGTTCGGGCAATGAATGGGTCGACCATGCCATGTTTGTGCTCTGGGTGGTTCTCCTTGCAGTTATCTCATGCTACCTGACGCTGTTCACCAAGACGGTTGTGCCATCCTCGGTCTCGCTCACGACGCTAGATGAGAACCTCGGTGCCGGGACTTTGCAAGGAACGAAGCGTGACACCTCCGAGAACAATTCTCCGGCATCATTAACTAGCCCGGAGACGCATTATCCAACGATCTCCACGCGCCCCGCCATGACTTACTATTCCGCAGCGGGCAGCGGAGTGGCCGAGGTGAAAGTCATCAACAGCGGTTTCGTCCTTCACGGCTACCTGGGGTTCAAGACTTTGGTCATCAAAACTATTGCGCTAGTTTTCAGTGTCTCATCTGGCCTGAGTCTCGGGAAGGAAGGACCATATGTGCATATTGGCGCGTGTGTCGGAAACATCGCCTGTCGGTTGTTCTCCAAGTACAATGATAACGATGGCAAGAGGCGAGAGGTGCTCAGCGCCAGCGCTGCAAGTGGTGTCGCCGTCGCCTTCGGGGCCCCAATTGGTGGAGTTTTGTTCAGTTTGGAAGAAGTCAGTTATTATTTCCCGCCAAAGACGTTATTCAGAACGTTCTTCTGCTGTATCGCGGCAGCCCTTTCTTTGAAATTCCTCAACCCCTACGGCACTGGCAAGATTGTCCTTTTTCAGGTCCGGTATGTCACCGATTGGGAGATATTTGAAATCGTCGTTTTCGCGCTGCTTGGTGTTCTGGGAGGGGCGGCTGGCGCTCTCTTCATCAAGGCGTCGAGTCTGTGGGCGAAATCATTTCGCAGACTCTCCATCATTAAACGCTGGCCAATGCTGGAAGTTATTCTTGTTGCAGTGGTGACCGGGGTGGTCAGTTTCTGGAACCGGTACGCGAAGCTGCCTGTCTCCGAACTCCTTTTCGAGTTGGCAAGTCCATGTGATCACGAGTCCGTGACATCGACTGGGTTGTGTCCCACCGAAGACGGGATCGGCGAGATTATCAACGATCTGCTGGTAGCCTTCGTGATCAAGAGTCTTTTGACGGTGGTGACATTCGGCATCAAGCTGCCCGCTGGAATCTATGTCCCGTCCATGGTTGTCGGTGGTCTCATGGGCCGCATTGTTGGCCATGTGGTGCAATTCTTGGTCGTAAAGTTTCCAAACTTCTTTTTATTCTCAACCTGTCCGGTCTACTCGGGCATGGAGTCCTGCGTTGTTCCAGGAGTGTATGCAATGGTGGCCGCTGGGGCGACTATGTGCGGCGTAACGCGCTTGTCTGTCACTCTTGCGGTCATTCTGTTCGAGTTGACGGGCAGCCTGGACCATGTCCTGCCTTTTTCCCTGGCAGTTCTTTGCGCCAAATGGACTGCAGACGCCATTGAGCCTCGTAGTATCTATGTAAGTCTAGCATCGAATATGACTGCTAATTGCAGGATGAGCTAACCTTGATAGGACCTGCTCACTGATATGAATTCCTATCCGTTCCTCGACAACAAGATTCAGCTTCTCTCGGACGACGAACTTGGAGACATTGTACGACCTGTCCGGAAGAGTCGCGTGATTGATATTTCAGAATCGCCTTTTGTGCCAGCAACCGAGCTGCGCTCCAAGCTGCAGCACCTGCTTGTGGCAGGTGAGCTGGACAGCGGCCTCCCTATATTGCGACATGATATTTTGTGCGGCATTATACCGGCTCCGGACCTTGAGTACGCCCTTGACACGATTGAGGATGAGGAACACACCATATGCCTCATGTCAATGGACACGGCTTCAGCTGTCGTTGACAGCGAAGATGGCAACGGTAATACCTGGGTAGACTTCCGCCGATATATTGACCCGGTAAGTAGCCCGCTCGTTTCTTTACAAGTCCTTGGCACTGACAGTTTTATGCAGGCTCCAATCTCTCTGGATATACATTCGCCCATCGATCTCGTCTACCAATGTTTCGCCAAGTTGGGACTGCGTTATCTGTGCGTTCTCCGCGATGGACAGTACGCAGGCCTGGTCCACAAGAAGGCATTTGTCAAATATGTCAAAGAGAACGAGTGAGCGAGACTTCCTCTACCCACATGGATAGGGTTGAAGCATACTGCCACGTATCAAATCCCGTCCTTTTCGCATTTCCGGCGTTTACTTTCACATTTTGTGTCATAATTTTTGCCCTACATACACCTTCCTTGTTTTATATTAACTTTCCGTTTGGCAACTTCTGTATATGAACCTCGGGCTTGAGTCGAGGAACTCTGCTTTGGCATTTGCACAAGCTTCATGTAGATTAGCTTTGGCTTTTTGATGGGTTGTTTCAGCGGACATACATCGTGACGGCATGTTATCCTGTATATATGGAGAGAAATATTGACATATGTATATGAGATTACCGTAGTCGCTATAGTATCCGTTCATAACCCACCAGCTGAATCCGCACATTCCCTTCCTCCCTCCATTTTGACGAGACCTGCTCGCCCACCCATCCGGACACCTCGTCCTCGCTCGCCATCCTCCACTTCCCCCCAGCTGAAAGCTCCTCATCCACTGGGAAGAAAGTATCACACTCAAACTCCGTCCCATCCACCCTCTCCACATTCGTCATCACAATCCGCACCGGTTTTGTCTCGCTTATCCGCAACGCAGCAGCATATATCTCTGCCCCGCCAATCACAAACACATTCCCCAGTCTCCCCTCAACCCCGTAGCCAGCCTCCAGACTCGCCAGCGCGTCCTCCAGCCCGGTACTCACGAGAGCGTCTGTCCGCGCCTCCGCCTGCTCTTGCTTCTGGGCCTGAGCTTGCGCCTGCTCAGCAGCAGCCGCCGCCGCCGCCTTCGCCCTCTTCGCCTCCAACTCCCTCATTATGCGTTCGCGGACAGAGCCGGTTGTATCCCTCGTGATGACGACGTTGATGCGCTTCGCAAGCGGGCGGAGGTTCTGAGGCAGGGAGTCGTAGGTCTTGCGGCCCATGATGATTGCGTTGGTGGTTCCGGGGCGAGGGGGGCGCGATGTCACACGCGCGAAGAAGGCCATGTCTGCTTTTATGCGCGGCCAGGGGAGGGTGCCGTGTAGGCCGATGCCGAGGCGCGTAGGAAGGTTTTCGCTTGTGCGGATTGGCGTCGTGGCGACGATGAGGGTGAGGGGTTGTGAGGGCGGCATTTTGCTGGTTGCTATAGCATAGAATTGGTGGTGTAGATGGAAGAACGATTTGGAGATGGAGAGAGCGGATTGATTGATGGAGGGATTGTTTGGACGTGTTGCGCGAATCGAGCTGATAAGCGTTTATCGCGATGATTGATCGCGCATTACCCCACTAGGAAGAGCATGATTCAGACACTACATTTAGTAAATAAGAGAGGTACCGAGTATTTTAGTATGTTTGTATTGCTGATGATTCAATGGGTATCTATATAACTACAAGTTTCTATGAAACATCTTAGAGGAACCTCGAACCAAACACCATACGCCAATCCCCATGCAGAGCAAATCTTGCCCAAAAAGGTAATCACTTGGCTGCCTTCAACAGCCCACCCTCCGCAATAGCCTTTTGAATAGCCTCAGCATCGCTCTCCAGTTGCTCTCTCCGTTTCACTTCCGCTTCGTCTTCCCCCAGAGTGTCGAGTTTCCCAAACAGCCAGGCCTCTTTCATTGTGCGGGTCAGGGAGAGAATATCCTCTGCTGCGCGCACCTGTCATATACTCGTGTATCAGCACATAAAACGTCGTATCCAGCAGAAAGGAGCGGCTTGTGCTATAACACATACCAGCGCGGTCGACTCCACGTCAAGCTGATACGTTTCGACAGCTGTTGCTGTGTGACTTGTATTTTCAACCTGAGACGGAGGTCAGCAGATGGACTACAGCTTCTGTCATGTCAGAATAAACGAACGGTAGCTGTAGCCATTATATTTTCGAATCGCTGCAGTAATTGTGAGATGTTGGCATTGATGCGATCTGCAGGTGATACGGTTAGTTTGGTTACTGTAGGAGGGATAGGCCGGACTGCGCTCCGAACTCACTATGTAGGGCTTTAGATGAAGGTTGAGAATCCATTATTGCGCTTCAATTGGTGTTTGACGCTGTTGATGTCTGAAGTTCATCTAAAGAGAGTCTCTGATATTGTCCCTCACGCTGATGTTGAAGGCGGGGATTATGGCGGTCCAGTATTCTGCCATATCATTTTTATGTTTGCTCAGTTTGGGTCGTTGCTTTACTTTTAGAGGTTGATGCCCTGTGATGCTACGGAGTACATATCTTTTGCAACGAGAACTGACTGATCAGCCACTTTACAGTGTAGTCATGTAATTATTTGCACAAGCTAGCAGAACTGATATTGGTTTATCGCGCAGCGGAGTTACGTACAAAGAAAATCCGCCATGAATTTGGCGTATAGGATAGGTTCCGGAGCTGGAAACGGCTCAGACTATAGTATCATGATCGAGCACCAAACTGACTGCAAGCGTTCCCCAAACCCCGATTTTCAAACAAGGCAAACCCAAGGATTCGAGATACCTCTGGGATGATATTCTCGAGGAGCGCTAGGCCAACGAGACTATGTCGAATGACCTCAATAAGGTTACCTTCCTTGCCGTCATACTAGCGAAGCCTCACGGTTGCAGCAGGGTCATCAAGCTAGCACGGCCACTCATCCACCCTGTAGACTCCGTTCTAAGTCGAGGTGAACTTGGAAGTTGGAAGTGGCCCCAGGTATTGATTAAAACGTGAAACAGACGACAAGTTTGTCGAGTATTGATATGCAGTGTGCCAGTCTACCGAACATACTTGGACTAGTGGTATATTAGCAGAATTCATCATGTCCTTTCGAAAAGTTGGCTCACCATAAATCTTCTGTGAAAATCGGAGCGCAACAAATCCTGTCATATGATTAGCGCCATTCCAGATCCCGTACTGAAAAGTCTTACGTTGACAAACTCCTGGCCCCGTTTCTCTTCGGTCCCGCGAGCTTGATTCTTAAAGACAACGTCGTCGTCCCATCTCCGCTTGAGATTAAAGTCTTGAGGGTTGAGCAGCGGGTTGCCCTTGGCAATGTCGTACTCTCGTTGCTCCTCTTCCTTGGCAGCACGTTCGCGTTCCTAGAAATCGGTGAGGGTCTGGTAGAAGAGCTCACAAACGAATAAAACCAACCTCTTTCTCTTTCTGCTCTAGCCTCTCCTTCTTGATTTTTTCCAGTTCCCGCATCAATTCCGCAGCTTCATCTTCGTCATCACTATACCGTGGTGAGCATGTTGGACCGCAAGGCCGACCGGAAATGGGATATTTACCTCTCTTCCTCACTACTGTCATCCTCTGAACCTTCCGAGTCTGCATCTATATCCCGAGTTTCCTCTAATATCCGCCGTCGTTTTGCTTCTGGGTCCTCCTCTTCTGCTTCGCCTGCACCATCCGGAGCGGTCCCTTCTAGTAGACGTTTTGGCGCCGCGCTTTCGACGACCGGTTCATTGACTGGGACTCCGTTCTTCTTGGCAAAGTGAGCCGCCTCTGCCTGGAGCAGCTCGGCTCGTAGATCGCGCTGTCGGACTTCGGTTTCATTTCCTTGCCCTAATTGACTTGGAATAGTCAGATGGAATTTCCTCAGCTGCAGAACGCGTTTGACCTACCGAGTCTTGAGGTGCGTATATGCGGGTAAAAGCCGTTGATGATAAGCTGGCCCACGAAGAGCCTCTTTCCCTTGCGCCTATAACTTGGTGAGCTCCGCTTTGAGGATTGGGATAGTAGGATGAGCACGTACGGGATCGAAGGTGGGTCTGTGGGCTATGAACAAGTCAGCGCATTATTCTGCAACGTCACATTCTGCTTCCACGTACCTGTAGTCATGATGGGCTGTACGGTGGTCTGTTGTATGGTTTTCTGCTCAATTGATTAGAGTTGTCGGAGGATGATAATGTCGAGGTTTCGGCCTCAGGCCACAAGCTGAATCAGCCACTTTCACCGCTTTTGGCGTACTACTGATATGATTGGTTATATGGAAGATTGATGATCCGCTGCATTCAATGACGCTGCAGAATCCAGAAATTTCCCCAAAAAGTCCGTCTTGATTGACCCCGTCGGGGCCAAGTCCGCCTCCGCAACCATGAACAAAGAAGCATCGCTCTCAATTGCTGAGCGCGACTTCATCCTCAATGCTCTGCGCGAGGATGTGAGACTGGATGGTCGCCACGCTGACCAGCTTCGTCCTCTGACCGTAACATTCGGGGAGGAATATGGGCATGTGAAAGTGCAGCTGGGCAAGACGAGGTGGGTTCTGCTCAGCCGATTCAGCGCTGTATCTGGAGTAGACTGACCTTTCTAAAGTCTCATCGTGCGCATATCCTCTGAAGTAACGAAACCTCGCGATGACCGTCCTTTCGATGGCATCTTCTCAATTGCCCTAGAGCTTACGGCAATGGGCTCACCAGCTTGGGACAATGGACGGTATGGCTGATACCATATGTTGGGCTGCGCGTTCAGCTAACAAGCTAACTTTTACTCATCAGCCAAGGAGATCTCGAAGCTTATGTCGCGCATGTCCTTGACCGACTGGTGCGCCACTCGAACGCTTTAGACACCGAGTCACTATGCATCCTGAAGGGTGTCAGTTGCTGGAGCATCCGCGCCGACGTCCACGTCACCGACTACGATGGCAACCTCATTGACGCCGCGTGTATTGGAGTGATGGCTGGACTGCAGCACTTCCGTCGTCCGGATGCGGTTGTCAAGGATGGACAGGTGATTGTCTACGGGCTAGACGAGCGGGTACCGGTACCCTTGAACATTACGCACAAACCTCTTTCGGTTACCTTTCACACCTTTGATGAAGGCAAACGGGTCATCCTCGATGCGACTCGGAAAGAAGAGCAAGCCTCGGAAGCGGACGTTGTCTTTGGCATGAATAATGCCGGAGATGTGTGTTTCGTTTCTAAGTTTTCGGGCTCCCCTGTGGATGCCTTAGTATTTGTGTCCAAGTCGTCGGTTGCTCTTGAGAAGGTCAAGGAGATCAACGCGATTATCGACAAAGCACTGCAAGCCGATTCTGCTAAAAGGTCAAAGAACGGAATGGCAGAAGAATCCAGGGCGGAGAATGACCGATGACTCGATACTCACGAGAATAGCAGCAACTAAGGGCAACATGGTAATGATACTCAAGGACGTGATGTAATATAGAGCTCCATAACGATGTTTATTAGTCTCAATTGAAGTCATTCGAGTCTATCTCTATAGTATTACATGTGTGCAGAAAGTCTCGGTCGAGCTAAAAAGCGAAATCACATCACAGCTCTAGACGAGAAGTCCGCAGCCCCTGTCAATCATGTCGAGAAAAATCATAATCGGATTGACTCTTGAAGACGAAGGATCGTTCTTAGGCCTCAGCTTTTACCCTGAGTGGGCCGGTGGACGCGCATCCTCATTTGGCGCAGGAACAAAACAGCTGCTGGAGGAGGTAAAAGGCGTAAATCGAGGGGGGGGGGAAAAAAATAAAATAAAATAAAACAAAATAAAAACAAACGATCCTCAGGGGAATGACTGTCTCAACCAATTCGTATCCTTGATGAGCTCTCTATTAGACTTCTTAGCTTTCAGCAACATCGACTTCCGTGTCTCTGTTGTTGACTATTTATAAAGCCAGCTAACTAACTACCTTAGTACTACTACCAAACTGCTGAACCAAGGCCGAGTCTCAGCACCGCCCAGTGGAATCCGCAACAGCCAACCAGCCAACGTCGTTTCGCCGCCCATCCCAAAACACCTCCAGGCATTCAAGAATAGTCTACCTTTTGCTACTTGCTGTCCTTATTCGCATCTTCCAGCTCTTCACAATCTGCCTCATCCGATCGGTTCTCCAATCCGATCAAACCCCCTTGCGCAACCTCGTGGCCGTTGTTGTCAACCAAATTACCCAGCCACTCCCCACTCTCTTCCCGGAGTCTTCGGTCAATGCTTCAGGGACACAACATCTCTGTGACGGAGTTTACCCGCACCAAGCATCATGGCCAGCGGTAGGCCTCCAGGTCTCCATCCAGCCGCTGGCCGCGATGAGGACCTGATGCAGATGGAGGAATCGACTCCCATATACAGTACGGGACAACGCCCGCCGGTCAACGACGACAACCTGTTGCGACAGTATAACATTGACGATTCCGATCAGCCTCAACCGCGTCCCTC